AGAAGGGGACAGGCACCGTGTGAGCCCTGGAGCCCACCACCCCCTCCTCCCACAGTCTGTTCCCCCCAGGCATCACCTGGCCCGAGTGCAATGACATCTGTGTCTCTTCCTGATTCATTCTCTCTCTCTTTCCTTCCAGCTGTCTGTCTTTTGGTCACTTTCTTTTCTTGCATTTGTTTCCCCCACTGCTGTGCCCAGCTTCCATACCAGCCTGTTTTTTTTTTTCTCATGTAGGGACCAGGCAGCCAGGAGTGAGGGCTGCTTGTGCCGGGTGTGCTGCTGGAGGGGCCAGTCCCTGCACAAGTCACTTCACAGCATGTGGGTTTTAACCTTCTGCAAACAGATATCCCAGGCTGGAGCTCCCACTGTAAAAGTAAATTTGTTTCATTATGTTCACACATACATAGTTCTCCAGCCTGTGCATCAGGTGCTTTCTTCTCTATGCTGCTTTTGTAAGAAATCCTCCCTCTAATGATGGCCTCAGGAATTGTGATTGCTGCTGAATCACAACAGAGTAGTGAAATGTTCTCCTCACCTTCTTTTCCTCATTCCTACAGAAGCACCTGGAAGATGCTTTGCAAGCTCGTCAGAAGGAGATGGAGAACTTCTTGCGGAGGAAGCATGTGGCACAGGAGAATATCTGTGGCCTGACGGTAATGCCCTGTGATAGCTGCTTTTTGTATAGCCTCTGGGTTAGTGTCCGTAGGGCACCTGTGTATCACTTCACCTGAGATTTAGCCTGGCTTCCTGTAAAAATCTAGATGGGTAACTGTAGGGTCTGAACAAACTCTCCCAGATGTGTGCCAAAGCCCATCACTGCTGAATACTCAGTGGAAGCTTTGGGAGGAGGCATTAAGCACTCATTAATGCAGCGTTTACAAGGTGCATTGTTGCAGCAGAGCTGAGGTGGGGTGAGAGGTGAGAGCTGCGGGCTGAGCAGCCTGTGCTGGCCCTGCAGCGCTGCTGCTTTGGGAGAGAGTTAATTCTTGGAAGCTCTGAAATCCTCTTGTGTGTCTGAAGGGGTGGCAGCAAAGCTGAAGGAGCTGGGTCAGTGTTGGCACTGCAGAGAGCAGTGGCCTTGTCACAAGAACCGTGTTTGGATTCACTGCAAAGCCCTGAGGCGATGCGAGGAGCCTGAGTGCTCTCTCCAGGCTTGAGTGGCACCAGGCTGCCTGTCACTGATCAGTGAAGCAACAGCAGCCACGGACTGTCTGTGCTCCCTTCTTGAGTGACTTAAGCTCTCCTTCCTTGGCTTTTAATAATTTTAAGGATTAACTCTGTCCCAATGTCAGATTTGTACTAGACCTTTGAGTTTGATGATGAAGTATTGGCAAATGAGCACATACGGCTGATATTCCACTGCAGTAGAAGAACTAAGAGGTGTTTGAAGAGTAAAAGAGCAAATTGCTGATCTGGACAGGGAAGCTGTGCGTGTCATCTGCGGTTCTGGTTTGTCAGCACAAGCACCTGCTGGAGCAGAGGGTCCTGGGGTGCTGTGCCAGCTGGTGCAGCTTTGGGTGTGCTCTGGAGGAGATGGGCTTCCTGCAGCTGGAAAGGGATGTGTGTTTCAGGAAGCACTGCTCAAGAAAATAATGAGGGCTAAGGTTGCACTTAGAGATTGCACATTGAGCTTAAAGATTGAGGAAATAAAAAGTCATTGGTTGTCCCTTGTAAACAGACAGGGTGGCAACAAGAGCACTGCAAGGTTGGCTGGCAGACTAAACAACTGGGAAAAAGTGACCTCTGAAAGGAGCTGAATGGGATTTTATCAGCCTTAACTTCAGAGATTAGCTGGTGTAGCTCCCCCATCCCTCCCGTACAAACAGGAGCCCTGAGAGACACAGGAACTGGAGAAAAAGAGCAAGTTACCAGTGTTGGGCAGCTCTGCCTAGGCCTGGCACAATGTGAAATAAATCCTAACTAACCTGAACAGCTGAGCCTGCAGCTCCAGAAGAGCAAAAGAGCTCCAGTCTTGCACACAAGCAAATAAGGAGAGGGCTGTGGGCTCCCACTAGGGCTGTGTGCAAGGATTTCTAGTTAAGGTGACAGAGCTATTGGTAGAGCTTGGGCTTTTGGTTCTTTGTCCTGTTCTCCATCCAAAAAGTCATGGGTGTGTCTGAGACTCTGATTTCCAGGAGTCCGTAAACAGGTTAACAGGCCCAGCCATCCCGTGCACCTACTGCCAGACTAATCTTCTGCCTTTTCCCTGTTCTCAGAAGTTGTCTGGGGAGCTGAACTTGAAGATCCGTGCAGAGTTTGTCCGCCTTCATCAGATCCTGGAGGAAGAGGAGAGAGCTGTGCTGGCAGAGCTGGGAGAAAAGGAAGAGCAGTCGCTGGCACGGCTGCATGGGGACGTCCAGCGGCTGGAGGAGGGGATGTCGGTGCTGCACAGGGACATAGAGCGCATAGAGGAGACCCTGGGAAAGATGGAAGAGGTGTCCTTGCTGGAGGTGAGTGTGCTTGGCTGACCCTGGCAGGAGGCTCAGGGGTGTTTCAAGATCTGAATTTGGGATGGGGAGAGTCCTAAATGACTGCACCAGATTGGAAGTCACTCTCACTGCCATCCCTCTGGATTATCTGCCCATGCCCTTGGATTCTGGAGACTTTATCCACAAGGGATAGGGTTGTCTCTCTGATGTGGTGGGTCTTGGGAACCTTCCTTCTTCTCTGCCACCCTTGTGAAATTGCCTTGGTTGCAGCGCCCAGGCAGTTTCCCCCAGCGCTGGGGGCCTGGCAGGTTGGTTTCCTGTCTCTGTGCTTCGTGACAGCAGGAGGCAGGACAGGGAGCTTATTTGTGCAGCTGCATGAATTACAGACAGTGACTGTTAATTCTCTCTGCTTTTCCCTGCAGGTGGAGAGCCTGGATATCAGGTACGTGTCTGGCATGAAAGAAGCTGATTTACCTTTTCAATGAGCTTATCTCTGTCCCTGGCTAGGACCGTACAGGGTAGGGATCTTATCTCAAATTTTAAAAGCATCAGAAATTGCTCAGCGAGCTGCTGGTGCTGTGCTAGGTGGGGGCTGGTCCCCAGCACACGCTGGATGCTCTCCCCAGGGAGCATGTGTGTCCAGATGGCCGGGCTGGAAGAGTGGGTGGAGGAGACTTGCTGGTTCGGAATGGGTGCAAGAGCCACGCGTGCTGCAAGCGGCAGCAAGGCTGATGCCACAGCCTTTGGGTGCTTTGGCTCCTTGCCCTATCTTAGCTGCTTACAACTCACGGGGCTGCAAAACTGACCCCATGGTGCAGGTTCATCCAAGCCTGCAAGTAGCTGAGGGCCAGAACTGTGCATCCTTGTCCCCTCCCTCCCTGGGGGCTGCAGTGGGATGCAGCCCTGACCTGCTCACCCCTGCAGGAGTCCTGCTTGGGCGTGCTGGGTGCTGGTCTGCTGTGAGTCACTGCTTCTTGAGCAGTGCTGCCCAGTCTGTCTGGTTTCACAACACCTCTGCCCCAGGCTGTGCTAGGGGTGGCACAGCATCGCGGGGGAGCAAACAGCTGCCAGGGAGGTTTGTGTCCTGTCTTTACCAAATCCATCACGGGCAGTGGCATGCTGCAGTTCTGACCACGCTCTTATGCCTCGCTGTGGGCACGCAGAGGGGTTGACTGCCCGCTCTCTCTCCCCAGGCCCTCGGTGCGTGTTGAGACCCAACCTGCCTTCAACCTGGAGCACTACAAGGACAGCCACAGCGGCCCCTTGCAGTACATCTTCTGGAGACGGATGCTGCGGTCCATCTCTCCTGGTGAGCAGACGGCTTGAGGGGTGGAAGTGCTGGATGGTGGTGGGGATGCAGATGCTCTGCAGAGGGAATATACAACCAGTAAAATGCCATTCTCAAATGTCCCTGCAGCTCCAGCCCCGCTCACCTTCGACCCTGAGTCAGCCCACCCCAACCTTGTCTTCTCCAGAGACCTGACAGCAGTCACAGAGAGGAACCGAGCCCAGCCCGTCCCCAGCAGCCCCCGGCGCTTCCGTCAGTGCGTCAATGTCCTGAGCTCACAGACCTTTGACAGTGGCCGGCACTACTGGGAGGTCTGGGTGGGCAGTAAAACCAAGTGGGACCTGGGGGTGGCCGCTGAGGCTGTGGACCGGGCGGTGAAGGTCAAGCTGTGCCCAGAGAACGGCTACTGGACACTTCGCCTGCGGAACAGGACGGAGTACTGGGCCACCGCCACCCCCTGGGTGCGCCTGGCTCCCCGCCGGGCCCCCCGGAAAGTGGGGGTCTTTCTGGACTGCCAGGAGGGCACCGTCACCTTCTTTGATGCTGGGGACATGTCCCACCTCTTCACCTTCCACCAGGTCTCTGCAGAGCGATACTGCCCCTTCTTTAGCACCTGCTTCAGCGACGGGAGGGACAATGTGGAGCCCATGCGGCTCTGCCACCTGGCCCTGTGAGGGATGGGGGGGAGTGGGGTGCTTTGGGGACACCAGCCTGGCTCCTTGTTTTTCCCCACTGTGCTGGTTTTGGGCTGCCTGGGACCATGCTAGAGGCTGATCTTGTGCACATGGACCTGGTGGGTGTTGGAGGGGCTGTTCTGGTTTCAGTTTTGGGAGTAAGGAGCAGGATGTGTCTCTTCCCAGCTCCTGTCTCTGCATGGCAGGTGCTGTGCTGCATTCCTGGAGGTGCCTGGCACCCCTTGAAGAACAACCTTTGCTGCCTGAGCGCTGCCTAGGTCAGTAGCCACAGCCCCAGGGCTGCAGTGGAGGTGGCCACAAGCTGCTCACACCTCCTGTCCCCCTGCGCTCCCCCTGTGGAGGAGCAGGGCAGTGGTCTCAGAGCACTGTCAGGTGCCTTTTGACAAACTGTGCATCCTGGCAGTGGGCTTCCTCTGCTCCAAGAGCTTTGTGGGGAAGGACTCTGGGCTCATGGAAGAGGGAGCTTGGTGGGACCCACCACAGCCCAGCACTGCCGCTCTGCCTCCCCTCAGTCACCATTAAAGCTCATCAGAAATACCACTGCCTGCTGGACCTGCTCCTGGCTTGCGTGCTGGGGGAAGAATCTCCTGCACGGGGGTGTAGCACAGCCTGGGGACATGGAGCAGCCCCCTGGCCCCAGCTCCAGCCCAGGTTCCTTCCCTCCTCCTGCAGCACAGGAGGCAAAAAATTGCTGCTGCTCTCACCGAGCCCTTCCCTGGGAGTGCTGTCCCTGCGTCTTGCAGGGGCTCTTGGCCTTTTGCTCCCCTCCACGTTGGGCTCCTTGGGAACACAGTGGGGGTGTGGCAGCCCTGTGGGGTAGGAAGTTTTGTCTTGAGCCCACCCCTGGCTTTAGGCCCTTGGGTTTTAAGATCCAGTCTCCTCTGGGTGTTCAGGATTTGTATCTGTGGAAAATGCAAAGCCCCATTTCTGGGCATCTTCGTGAAAGTCTGAGCAGCCTTTGGTGCCAGGAGGTGCTCCCAGCAAAGCTCTTTGCCTGTCAGCCCCCTCCAGCAGCACTGTCCCTGCAGGAGCGTGGCCTGGGGCTCCTCAGGAGGGGGAGATGGAGTGGATTTGGCTGCTGCAGTTCCTGCCTGAGGGTGCTGGCTGTGTCCCCGACTCACTTGGCTTCACTCATGAGTCAGAGGAGTTGACTTTAGGCAGGAGGTGCTGGGGTGGGTCTGAGCCTGGCTGGTGGGAGCAGTGGGTGGCGGGGAGGCTGGCAGCAGCTGGGGTGGGTGGATTGTTGTGTTTATCCCACCTGAGTCCACTCCAGGGTCAAAGCAGAGGCTGGAGCTACCCCAATCCTGTGTGGCCCTGAGTGCTGGCTGGAGCCTGCAAATTACACCGCTGCAGAGGCTGAGCTTTGTGCTGCGGGAAGGGCCGGGGACGAGGGCTTTCCAGCTCACAGCTGGGCACAGGGACACTTGTCAAAGCATCTCCTCCACTGGTCCTGCCCCTGGCCAGCAGGGACAGAATGGGGAGCCTTGTCCTCCCACTGTGCCACAAGGAACGTTCTCCCTTCCCGTGCACCACTGCTGCAGTGTGCCAGGGCTCGGCTCTGCTTGGAGTGCCCAGTTTTGCGGCTGCCGAAAGCCTGTCCTGGGGCAGGAGGGGACAGGCTTAGCCAGAGGGGAGGATGACCCATGCAGGATGTGGGTAGCCGTGCCCTCCTGCACCAGAGCACCGAGCAGCCTGGGGCTCTGCGGGCATGGGGTGGAGGGTGGGGGCAGAGGGGATCCAGGTACTGGGAAGCCATTGCTCTGTGCAACCTGCAACCTTGTTCAGGGGTCGGGTGTGCTTGGAGGGGGTGTGAGGCGTTTCTACTTCCTGCCAGGGCCCAGTTGGGCTTGAGCTGGCAAATGAGGTCTGCTCCCTCCTTGCTGAGCCCCTGGGCTGGAATCAGCCTCTTCTCTGCCTCCTGCCTCATCCTCTCACTGCACACCAGCTTCAGCTGAAATCAGAGTGAAGAGAGAGCTGCTGGCTTGGAAATGCCGCTGTGAGCAGGGCTGGCATCCCTCCTCCATGGGCTGGGAGCCTCTGCGGGAAGGTGAGGCTGGTTTAATCGCAGTGGAGACCTGTGGCTGGGGGGGGGGGGGGGCATCACCCCCCCCAACG